GCCTTCAGTCTAGCTTGGTAGTGATTTTTGGGGGGACAAGCCTGGGTCAGACACCTCTGGTATTTTACTCTGAATCCTGGAAGGTGTGGGCCTATATATCTCATCCACCTTCACACCAGCCTCGCCCTATGACTTAGAGTCCAGAAAGAACAATACCCGGCAGCAGTGCATGGACCCAAGGTGAAGCTTTCCTGTGTTTTATAGTAGCTGGGTTGCGCCTGCTGCCCCTTACCTTTGAACCCTGGGATCAGTAGGCCCCTTCATTCTTCAGATCATGACACTGCTTTAGACAGTTTCCTTTAGAAATGCTTCATACCAGGAGACCACATTCCAAGTACTCAAAATGGCTATTATTGTAGCGGCTCTCTATTTTTATTTATTTATCTAATTATCTATTTATTTTTTTACATACCAATCCCAATTCCCCCTCCCTCATCTCCTTCTGCTCCTTCTACCTTCCCCCCTTTACACCCCCTTATCCGTTCCTCAGAGAGGGTAAGGCCTCCCATGGGTGCCAACGAAGCATGGCACACCAAGTTGAGGTAGGACCAAGCTCCTCCCCCTGCGTCAAGGCTGGTTGAGGCAGCTTAGCACAGGGAATAGGTTCCCAAAAGCCATCTCAGGTGCCAGGGACAGGTTCTGATTCCACTGCTGGGAGCCACACAGATCAAGCTACACAACTGTCACACACATGTAGAGGACCTAGGTTGCTCCCATGCAGGCTTCCTGGCTGTCGGTCCAGAGTAAGTGAGCTCCCACAAGTTCAGGTCAGCTGTCTTTATGGGTTCCCCCCATCATGACCTTGACCTTCTATTGCTTGTGTAATTCCATCCTTCCTTTCTTCAGCGAGGCTCCCAGAGCTCAGCCCAGCGCTTGGCTGTGGACCTCTGCATCTGCTTCCCTCAGTTACTAGATGAAGGCTCTCTGATGACAATTATAGTAGTCACCAATCTGATTACAAGAGATAGCCAGTTCAAGCACCCTCTCCACTATTGCTAGGAGTCTTTGTGGATTCCTGGGAATTTCCCTGGCATTAGGTTTCTCCCCAACCCCCAAATGCCCCCCCAGTCAAGGCATCTCTTTCATTTCTCTCCCCCTCCATCCTGCCCCCAACTCACCCAGCTCGATCCCTCATCTTCCCACACCTCACACCACCCACCTCTACCCCCAGTTTACCTAGGACATCTCATCTATTTCCCATTCCCAGAGAAATCTCCGAGTCCCTTTTTGGGCCCTCCCTGTTACCCAGCATATCTGTGGTTGTGGATTGTAGCCTGGCTAATCTTTTCTTTACTCCTAATATCCTCTTATAAGTGAGAACACACCATGTTTGTCTTTCTGGATCTGGATTACCTCACTGAAGATGATTTGTTCTAGTTCCAGCCATTTGCCTGCAAATTTCATGATGTCAGTTTTTTTTTTTTTTAAACATCTGAGTAATGCACTCTGCCTTTTAAAAGAAAATTTAACATATAGAGATATCAAATCAACAAAATAGTAAAGTCTGGAGCAATTATCACTTTGGAGCCCTGGAAGGTTCACCCTGGCCCTTTAGAAACAATAGCTTTCCTCCTCCATTCATCCTTTAAATTGAATTGATCTGTAGTTAGTGAAACAAGCTACAACCATTACTGGACACATTCCTGGTGACGATTCTGGGCTGAGGGCCAGGGCCACTTTTTCCTGCTTCAGGTCAGCATCCAACTTTGTACAGTTGTATCCAGAGATGCTGGTTCAAGTATGTGGGATGCAGGATAGTAGTATAGACAGCCTGCTCCACGGAGAGACTCTCAGGTCCCATCTCCTCTGTCAATCAACTGCCGAGACAACTTTATCCCCTAGTCTAAGGTTTTCCTTATTCTTCTTTAAATTCCAACAGGCTTCTGGCAATGTTTACTGCAAACACACCCCTGTTATGAGTTTTGTGGAGATTCATAAGTGGATTAAACCCCTCGTCACCTGGGCCAGGTGTCCTAGACAGCTTCTCATTTACCACCTGATCCCAGGGAAGAGAGGAGGTCAAGGACTCGTGAGGGTCAGATGACAGACAGCCTGTAGGACAGGGCAGGAGGGATGTCTAGGAGGCTAGAATTCAAAGCAGCGCTGTTAGCCCTGAACCATCTGTATCCTGGGATTGGGGGGCCTAAGGAAGAGTGGCAAGAGTTGGGGAGCTCAGTGGTTAAGGGGCCTCTACTGTGAGCAGAATGCTGGGTTCAGTCTCCATTAACAAGAAAAAGGCGAAAAGCCAGACCTCTGCTTCTACAGCAGAGAGGGAGAGAGAACAGCACTGAAACTGGGACAGTTAGGTTCCTGCCTCCTTAGACTCATCACATTCCTGGGAAAGAGCAACAGTCACCTTCTCCTCACTCTTCTGATGGTGCTACATGCCTCGTGGCTCCCAGTGACTTCTGAGTAATGCACTGTAACTGGCTTCCTTTTCTGTGATTTTTCAGCAAAACACTTCACTCAGGGAACTTAGCTGGCTTGGTCTCTATAACATTGCAGTAGAATATACACATAGTGGAGCTCTGGCTCTGCTAATGAAAGCAGCCTTAATTGATGATATGACTGTGTGCACTCCAAGAGGCCACTTGTGCACAGTGGTGTGCATTACCTGGTTACCTAGTTCATTTTCACACTGCCTCTTAAAAAATATTCCTGTGGCTGTGTATGGTGGTGCACACCTTTAATCCCAGCACTTGGGAAGCAGAGGCAGGCAGATCTCTATAAGTTCGAGGCCAGCCTGGTCTACAGAGTGAGTTCCAGGTCAGCCAGGGCTACACAGAGAAACACTTTATTGAAAAAGCAAAAAAGGGAAAAGAAATAAAAGAGCTTAAATACCACTCACATCACAATAGTCAAAAATGATGCCAAATAAGGGCAGGGGTTTTGGTCCAGGAATTCCAAGTTTCTTAAAAGTCCCATATCTGTAAAGTAACAGCGAAATCTAAGTTGCTGGGATTGTGATTGTGACTTTACACAGATGGACACGTGTCATTCATTGACTCAGGAACTGTAAGAATCAAACCACAGAAGTAAGATCCAGGTAACAAATAGCAGTAAAACCCAAACAGCTACTATCTCAATCACTCGCCTCCTCCCAGTGTCCACTAAGTAGGCCACCCTAGTTTATATGATGGGATAGGGACAATGGAGGCTTTAATGCTTCTAGTCCAAGAGACCATAATTGATGAAAACCCCCAGATTTGGATTTTAGACCCCCTGAAAGAGTCAGGCTCAAGGTTTCCCAGGGTGTTTCATTTGCTCCTGTCCATTTAGAAAATTCTATGAAGAAGTGAGTCTCATTAGCTAAGGGGTTTTATTTGCATAACTGAATGCACTTTATGGCATAGGGCATTGGAGATCTTACGGTATTGTTCTTCCAGATTGGCCAGAGACATGTTTTTCCTTTTCTCTAAGCCATGGGCTTGTTAGAGGCTCTAACTGTTCTGAAAAGTTCCTTTCTAGAAAGCTTTCAGATCTTTCTAGATCTGAAACTCCATGATGTTCTTATGTCCATATAATGACAATTGAGTTCTGAAACTGTAAGCCAGCCCCAATGAAATGTTTTTACTATGGTCATGGTGTCCCATCACAGCAACAGAAACCCAATTAATACAGAAATACCAGGGACTGGAATATTACTGTGATAGACCTGTCCATGCTTTTATTTGGAGGCATATGGACTTTGGATTAGAAAAGCAGCTGAATGTTTTAAGTGGACCTTAGTGGGCTGTACTAGGAACATGGAAGCCAGTAGCACTGGAGTAATTGGAACTGTGGAGGTCTGGCTCAAAATGTTTCAGAGGAGCAGAATATTAGTATATGGCCTACAGGCTGTTCTTATATTTTGGCAAAGAATGTGGCTTTCTGCACTTGTCCAAAAAATCTGCCTGAAGTATATAACCTTTCCCAAATCAGATGGCTAGGTGGTGTGTGTGTGTGTGTGTGTGTGTGTGTGTGTGTGTGTGTGTGTGTCCTCTTCCTCATCAGAGCCCAAATGAGCTGCCCTACACCATCAAAGGCCTGACACCACTCAGTGTCTTCTAGGACCACCGTCAGCCATTTTTTGATGGTGTAACGGTGATTGCTGCCTTTGTCCTGTGGAGGATTGCCAGTATATAGTGAACAGTAAGACTGCATCCAATCCATTCCCCACAGACAAATGTATAAAATTTCCATGGGCTCAACATCTTTTGCCAGTCACACTCAGAATTGTGGGGAAAGCCTGGCAATTCTTTATGAAAATGATCTGTTGATGGGCTACAGAGATGGCTCAGAGGTTAGGAGCACTGGCTACTTTCCCAGAGGTCCTGAGTTAATTCCCAGCGACCATCTAGAATGAGATCTGGTGTCCTCTTCTGGCCTGCAGGCATACTTGCAGACAGAACACTGTATACACAACAAGAAAATGATCTGTTTAAACATGTTAGGTGGGGTGTGACAAAATGTCACAAGGAGCAGTGAGTGTATACGCATGCCTCTGGGTTCAGGGTGGACACCATTACAGCTTAGCTGACTTCACTGCACGGCTCTGCTGTCCAGTTGACAGAGCAGAAGCCCAGGAAGAAAGGGAAACCCTTGTCTGTGGACCCCAGTGTGTTTGAGCTCAGAAGCTACGTCCCTAACTGTCAAGGGCGCCACTGAGCACAGGACTACCCATTCACACTTGTATCCTTTGCATTCCTTGCCATTTTCTGCCACATCAGCAGTTTGATTTCCCCTGATTCTAGGATGCTCTGCAAGGGTCCTCCTTCCATGTTCCATATTTAGCTCAGAGCTGCCATCCGCACCTTGACACAAGTAGATTGTACTACGTGGGGAGAATAGACATCATGTCCCTGAACAATATCACTTAAAATGAATAAACAATACCTTTTTATTCAACAATGAAAACAATAAAACATAATTGAAATTTAAGGAGGTATTTAAGAGAGGAAGGACAGCTTATACATGGAGCTGGTTCTGTGTGGAACTCAGCAGGTAATTCTATTACCTAACTATATGTCAACATCAGGCAGAGGGGAAATAGGCTCTGGTGCCCCTAACTGCACAACAGCAGGTAGAAATACCTGCCTGGCAGCTGGAACATCTGCAGCCACACATAGAGATTTTTGTGTATCAGCTGATGCGGGCAGAGACTGATCTAAAGGCAGAAGCTGCACGGATTCAGCTTCTGGCACAGCTGGTTCTCTAACTGCTGGGTCCATGAGCTCAGTGTTCTCTTGGGGTTTCAGATCTCCCTGTGGCCCTGCCACAGAAGCTGGTTTCAGATCTCCCTGTGGCCCTGCCACAGAAGCTGCTCTCAGATGCACTGTCTTTTGCATCCCTGAGGCATCCAGCATTGGGGCTTCTGAAGTTGTTGACCTGATGAGCCCACAATCTAGGACAGAAAGAGACAGACCATTAGTGGAGGTGGCCTAGAAATTTCCAGGATGCAGTGAGCTTCCCAGAGACCTGCCTTGCTGGTCACACAAGGCCTGCTCATGTCAGATAATCCCCAGTCCCCTCTTCCCACAAGTGGCCATGTCATCTGACCGATGGACACCTCTGGTTGGAGGTCAAGGTTTCTGGGGAATTCCCTCTCGGAACCCATCACAGAAACTACGCCCTCCCTTCCCAGGCACCTACCTCGAACCTCCCCATCTTCAAGCATTTCACAGCTAGCTCCTCTAGCTGTGGTATAAGCTTCTGGACATGGATGCGGAGGTTTGAGAGAGGCATGCTGAGCCACAGGTAGACCAACAGCTCGTTTGGGGTGACCCGGACTGGAGACCCCTTATAATCCTGGGGCACTCTTTGCATCCACAGTGCCAAAAAAGAATTGTAGGGCACTGCATGGCCGAGTAGTAGGTTGGCACGAGTAGACTCAGAAGCCTGGCCTTGCTTCACCAGCACAGCAGAGGTCCCTCACATGAGTAAAAGGCTGCCCGGCCCACTTGTTGCTAGACATAGTAGTCAGGAGTGTGGGGTTGTCTTCCCTTGGAAGACAGACTGGGCACACTGGGCTGGTCTGTGGTGGGGATGGACTCCCGTAGGGCCCTTTAGCTTCATCCATCCCTCTGTTCCTCAGAACCAAGGAGACCATGGAGATCTGTTTTTCTCCACATGCAGGTGAAGTCTCTGCTACTGTCCTCTAGTGGGAATCCCAAGGGGAGGTGACTGGTGACGGCTTAGTCCTCAACCCTAGCCACCCCAAACATCCCACTGTGCATATCTGTGCTCTTACCTCCCTCCCCACCCAAAGCCCGCTCACATCTTTATATGCCCGTCATCCACACAGTCAGGCCTGTGGCATTTCTTGAGGGCAGCTAAGGCCATGTATCCCCCACCCACCAGAGATCTAGAGGGAGCTGCTTGAATAGAAATAGAAGCCAGGGAGAGAGTGGGAGTTCAGGGGGCTCTCTGCACTGTTCTGGCTTCCATGCTGAGGGACTGGGGATGAGCTCACAGATCTTCAAGGATCTTCATGCAATGGGTGGAACCCAAGCTACTCCTTTTTCAGGTTGGACAGGGCTTCCTGGGGACTCCGCGGGGATCCTCGTCTGGCTCCATTGGTCCCATATAACCCAGATAGGGTCTAGAACCTTCTTTCCAAATGGGGAAAAGGCTTTGCTCAAAGCATAAGATAGTGTTTGACACTTCTTGGGCAAAAGTAAATTTCCCAAACTAGATTCATCTTCCTGCCCTCAATCTTTGGTCCTGTCACTTTGAAGGGACAGGCAGCAGACAAATGCTGCCAGGGGACAGTTGTACTATTCCTATGAGAGACGAGTCTTCCTCAAACCAAGCCAGGGGCTCACGGCCCTGAACTTAGTTGTAGCCACTGACGCTTTCATTAGGAGGTTCAGCACCTCCCAGGGGTGGCACCAAGGAAAGTAATGACGAAGTATTGGTCATGGGTTTTCACAGCAGTTGCTAGGTATTTCACTACTTAGTTTGGGCTGTTATGACCAAGCCTGAGGGCCTTAAGGTGGGAGTCTGGGTCCATTTTACCTGGTGGAAGGACCAACGAAGAAAGCAGGTTTAAATGGGGAAACTCTGAGAGGCATCATCAACCCATTGCCACACACTGAAGTGAAAAGCAGGCATAAAGGATGCTTCTCAGGGTTCTCACAGGATCACACACCCAGGCAGGGACTGTGGTGGATCAGGGGGACCAGAAAGGAAACCTTGGCCTGCCTGTGTTACCTCGATTTTTCTTTGAAAAAAACAGCGAGTGGGTGCCCCCAATGTCTCCAAAGGTGGCCAAGGCCACAACTCTTGATGTTTCTGTGGCCTGAGGTGCAGAAGTATAGAACTCCTTAATCTCTGAAGCGCTTCCGGGCGAGTCGGTTTTATCAGTTGAGTCAGTTGAGGGTGCTGAGGCTGCTGCTGGCCTCTGGTTACCTGGCAACCAGGAGTCCTTGTTCCATCTGGACCATTTTAAGGAAGTGAGGTCACTTCCTGGGGCCCTCCAGCCTGAGACTCTTCCACATACGCTCTCTCTGGGGCTGACCAGGGCTGCCACTGCTCTCCCTCTGCCTTTCCATGTGTACAATGGGACACAATGGCATCTATATGTTCATGCCACACACTGACCTGTGGAGCCTGTTTTCAGCCAGACCCTCAACTTTGAGAAGCTAGAAGAGCTTTCCAAACTATTCCCTCTATACCACAAGCATCCCAGGAAAAGGAATTTCTCTTAGGGTCTTCCACTGTCCTGGCCTGCTCCTTATAGATCATTCTAGTGTTGATTTCCTAGTGTGTCATCATGTGGATATGATCACAGATACCCTATACCTGGGAAACCCCATACCACTGTCACAAGATGTGAAGGCACAAATAGAGACAGGTGCCCATGTCCTCACACCCACACTCTCACAAGGGCACACAGAGGACCCACTTACAGATGCCCAGGAGCATGTTAGTATTGAAAGGAACATGCTTAGGTGGCCTTAGGGATATTTAGGATGAGGTTAGGGTTGGGGAAAGAGACAGAAGCAAACTGTATGCGCTCATGTTTAATGGTGCCTTTCCATTAGAGGACCAGGCTGGGCTTCTCTCCTTTTCTATGCATTCTAGTGTTTATTCCACAGGCAACCGTGTGCCTCTTCTGCATCCCCAGGCACTAGTGTCGGCCTTCTGGTTTGTAGGTGTCAACACCTCTCCCAACATTCCTTACCCCAGGGAAAGTATGAACTAACTTTAGGCAAACTTCCAAAGCTACAGAGAAACCTTGTCTCCAAAAAACAAGAAAAAAAAAAAAAAAAAAAAAAAAAAGGGGGGTGGTAAAATTTCCTGATCTTCATTCTTCAATGACCAGTTCAAAATTCATTCATATTTAAGTAAGTTTCAGGCTTGTTTATGGATAAACGAGAAAATTTAAAATTCTATGAAAAACCAGAAGGAAGGAAAAAGAATGGACTAAATTTACGATCCCTAGATTTTACAGAAATACAAAATGCATATATATATATATATATATATATATATATATATATATACAGCATTCTCATATTACACATTACATAATCAAGAACAATGATCATTTACATAACTAAGAAAATGGTTTTGTTCTTTAGAATGATCATTTACATAATTGAGAGAATATTTTAGTTCTTTAACAAATTTATCTTATTATTTTTCGTGAATGAGTGCATGTGTCTATGCAGTGATGTGTGCAGTACCCAGAGAAGCCAGAAGAGTGTGTTGAATCCCCTGGAACCGGGTTGTGAGCTGCCGTGTCAGTGCTGGGAACTGAACCTGTATCCTCTGCAAGAGCAGCCAGTGGTCTTAACTGCTGAGCCATTTCTCCAGCCCATTTCTGTTCTCTCTGTGGTCACAGTAGCCCATTGTAGAAACCATGATTAGTGTCACTTATTTCTGTACTGTTAATTAAAATATCATACCACGAACTATAGTTGGTTTCTTTCTTTTTCTTTTCTTTTCTTTTCTTTTCTTTTCTTTTCTTTTTTAACTCTTAGCTCTTTGGGAGCCTGCCACCCAACTCCACAATAAATACACTTACGAATACCCAACCTTAGCTTGGCTTATTTCTAGCTAGTTTTTCTAACTTAAATTAACCTGTCCTTCTTCTACATTTTGCCTCTGGGCCCTTAACTTTCCCTATTCTACATGTCTTTTCTTCCTTTCTTACTTGGTGGTTGGCTGTGTAGCAGGATGGCTGGCTCCTGGCATCTTCCTCTCCTTCTTTTCTGGGTCCTCCCTCTTCTCTCCTCTCCTATTTATTCTCTCTGCCCCCCAGTCCTGCTGATCCCTCTCCTGCCCAGCTATTGACATTCAGCTCTTTATTAGACCAATGAGGTGTTTTAGGCTGGCACAATAACACAGCTTCAAAGAGAAACAAATGCAACATAAAAGAATGCAACACACCTTTTCATCATTAAACAAATGTTTTACAGCATAAATGAATGTAACAAATCTTAACATAATATTCCACAACAAAGAACCTCAAATATTAGCAACCTCGGTTGATGGCCACACTTATTTTGGCTACAGCTGTGCAGTTTTGGTGACAGGTCAGCGTGGAATGGGTGGAGCTGTAGCCCAGAATGCAGGCAGGGCTACAGCAGCTGGGGTCTCAAGGGTCTAAAGCCTTGCTGACTCAGGTCTGCCAAGGGATGCTATGCTGTCTGCCAGTGGGGACAGCTGGGGTCTGGCTTCCCCACAGCACACTAGTGGTGACCCAGCAGACGGTCTCTCAGAGCCTGGCCTTAGATGTCAGTCATGCAACAGGGCAGGGTCAAAAGCCCAATAGCTTCATTAGAGGGAAACATAGTCAACCTGTTCTTATGGAGTAGAAGATTCTAGAAGAAATACTCTTGTCACTTCTAGAACCTGTCTTAGTTTGTATAGGGCAAATATTTTTTTTTTCATTTTAAATTGAGGATTGCTAAATTGTGCTCCTGAGAAATTGCACAAATTCTCTCCCAGTACCATGGTGAGGAAATGTAATATATATATGTATATGTATATGTATATGTGTATGTGTATGTGTATGTGTATGTGTATGTGTATGTGTATGTGTATGTGTATGTGTATGTATACATGTATATATGTATATATGTATATATGTATATATGTATATATTATATTATATATAATATATATAAATGCAATATATATTTATTTATATTTATATATTTATATATATTACATTAATATATATAAATGTTATATATATACATATATATATATAGAGAGAGAGAGAGAGGAGAGAGAGAGAGAGAGAGAGAGAGAATTGGAGTGCCTGTGAGCCTTTCCTTAAGGACATTGTTCTTCCTCTTCTGGCCACTAGAGGGCAGTGGTTCTCCATGGAAACACAAGGAGACCTTCCTTGACCTGTTTGTTGGCATCTCAGTGACATTTCATATAGGATGG